CTTCGGATGCAGCTGCAAGGAAATTGAAAAAGTGTTGCAGAGGTGTATCGTGAGCAACAAAGGAATTCACACTTGGAATATTTTGATTTTTCGTAAACAAGTAGGTGAATCGAATAATGCCAAAAGCCCACGGTTTGCCCGTATTCCAAGGATCCCAATTAATTTTCGCCAGTTTGAAAACTTTTCAAATCATCCGCCAAAACTGTCTTTTCAACACCCATAATGACCTATCGTTTCATTTCTGATCTAACGCCTAATCTCCCCCCATCTCCCCTTAGGATGTTGCCACGTGTACGACCACGATCTACTGTCTTCTTCCCTTACCATGTCTTTTCCACTTCAAATCACCACGTGACACGCCGCTTCTCGAGCCCCACGCCCCTCCACCTCACCCGTCGCAGTCAACCCTCCTCGTGGTCGACCCTCTCACTCGGTCACCCTTCACGGTCGACCCTCCTCGTGGTCGACCCTCCCACTCGGTCACTCTTCGCGGTCGGCCCTCCTTGTGGTCGACCCTCCCACTCGGTCACCTTTCGCAGTCGGCCCTCCTCGTGGTCGACCCTCTCACTTGGTCAACCTCCCCGATCGGCCCCCCTTCGCAGTCGGCCCTCCTCGTGGTTGACCCTCCCACTCGGTCAACCTCCGTGATCGGCCCCCCTTCGCGGTCGGCCCTCCTCGTGGTTGACCCTCCCACTCGGCCAACCTTTACGGTCGGCCCTCCTTGTGGTCGGCCTTTCCACTCGGTCACCCTGCACGGTCGGACCACCTCCCAGTCGGTTCACCCTCTCAGTCACCCTTGCCGGTAAACCTCTATCCTGCCAATCTCTAACACCCTCATCTTCTTCATTAGTATTCCTTTCGTTGGACTAAAGCTACACTCGGGAATAGGGGACTACTGACGTGTATAAGCCCATAAAGGCCATGAATCACTATGAATAACCCAAGCCCATCACTTGGAGCCCAATACATAACCCAGCTGGTGAGGTCCAGGACAGCTGGAATCCAATATGGCATAAAGAGCCAATGACATTCAGACACATGGCAGGTGAAGGACGAGCCACATCAGCAGACAAAGATCTTCAAAGTTATTGCCACAACACATCACCATTAATGCAGCCCATCACAGCATTTATTACGACAACACCTCTCCGTCGAAACAGGACCCCCTTACCCTGAACAAGGTAAACTACAGCATAGACTTTCGGCGAGGAAGTCGGGTCAGAAGGAACAGCGAAATGATTACCAAAAGATATAAGCAAACGTTGAAGACAAGAAGAAGGTTAAGCTTTTCTATGTCTAATCTCTCCCTCTACACTTTACTTCTCTTCCTGACTTGCTCGTCGGAGGGTTCACTGGGGGACTACCCTGTTCCCCGTTGAACTTGTTTGCAGGTTATCCGGTGGGCTTGATCATTTGGACCTGGGCTTGAAGATTTGGACCTGGGCTTGAAGAGCTTGGACCAGTCCGATCCATTCACTGGAACAAACTGTATCATCAATATATATGAAACATATTATGTAAAATTAGTTTATGTTATATATATATAAAATATTATACAAATTAGTGTTATATATTATGTAAATGTTTGATAAGTAGTTAAAATATTTTTCAATCCACCAATCTGCCCAAAACCACTCAAATCGCAATTTGTCAATCCGTCAATCTATTATTTGATTTGTAATTTTACTCTCAAATCGTCTAAACCGTACCGCGCATGCCCCTACTCATAACAACAATCATATTTAGAGGTTGTTTGAGATGTTCTAAATAAGTGTACTTTTTTGACTTTTTATAAAATATAAGGTTAAGTTTGAAGTGATGTAGTAGAGAGGTGATGTGATTTAAATAAGATAATATAACTTAAATAGGATAATAACTTTTTCACTTTTAAACTTATATAAGAAATGGCAAACCTAACCTTAAATTGTTACTAGCTAGATGACTTTTATTTTTATTTTTTTTTTAATTTTTTTTTATTTTAGTGTAAAAGGACTAAAAATTTTAAGAAAAAAAAAAAACAAAGAAGTATACATGTACATGTACTAGACGAGTATGATAATCAATGCAATGGTATGACACATGGGTGTGAAAATTGTTAATTTTGGACAAATATATATACTAGTACTACTTTATAAATTTGAAAGAGTAGAGGCCCCTGGCGTTCCTCAATTGCACATTTGTAAGCTCCTTACGCCGCAAGGCAACCTTGGACCAAAAGCAAACAAACCCTTTGAAAATTTCAATAATTATTTCTCAAAAAATTGAGTAGAACATTGGAGAAGGGGCAGGACTTTCTCTTTAATTACCAAACCCTCACGGAAAGTTGCAAATGACTAAACTGTTTATGAACAGGTTTAACTCATTAAAGGTTCGATTCAGTTCGATTTATTTAGGCTGATTTGGTAAATTTTAAAAAAATTAAAGAGTCAAAAAGTTATTAAAAAAATTAAAAAGTTATATTCACAAAAAATATATATATATATATAAAAATTAATATACAAATATTAAAATACAAATCAACTTTTTGGCCCATCAACGTACGACGTCAAGCCAACTGCAGTGAAAGGAAAACAAAAAATTACATGTGTACATTCGCTAAGTTGAATGGTAAAGTTGGGCTCGTGGGGTCCACCATGGGTCCCGTTTTGATAATTCGAACCCTTCAATATGTAGAGCTCGTCTAGTACTATATGCCTGCAAAAAATCACATCTATCAAATATCGCTAACTACATGATCAAATCAGTTTTGTATAAAAATTGAATGTTGTTATAGTTAACAGTTGACAAAAAAAAAAAAACCAACACGATCAGATAGCTACCGATATCCAATCAACGTAATTTTTTACAAGCATATAGTATTCGACGAGTTCTACACATTGAATGGTTCCGATTAGAAAAACGGGACTCGTAGTGGACCCCCATGGGCTGAACAACACAGTCCAATTAAAGCCCGAAAAGGAGACAATCTTTTCCATCTACTCACCCAGCCGACTACACTGTCAATCCATACGGTCTACTACACTATATTCTCCTACACACTTATTATACAATTTTTTTAATACATATTTTTCATAAAAAGTCAAAAAATTAATCCAAACATCTAGGCTCTGTTTGTTTGTATTCTCAAATCAATTTTCTACGTGTGTTTTGGAGCATGATGTTTGGTTACGTTTTCAAATCAATTTTCTACACTCTCTGCAGAGAACTCTGTGCACACAGGCGTGTTTTCTGTCCAAAGGAAGACCACCCGGTAGACCACCCGGATGTCCACCCGGTAGACCACCCGGATGTCCACCCGGTAGACCACCCGGATGTCCACCCGGTAGACCACCCGGATGTCCACCCGGTAGACCACCCGGATGTCCAAATTTTTTATGTGCTTTAAAATAATTTTGAGTTGTATGTTTAGTTATGAGTTGTAAATTTTTGTATCACATATCAAATGTCACATCAATAATTCCCCACTCAAATCAAACCTCTTTTCCAAAACTATTTTCAAAACTCTTTACCAAACAAATTTTCTAGACTCAAATCATAATTCCACAACACACAAACTCAAAATATAACTCATACTCTCAAATCACATTTACAAAACTCTACCAAACGCTACCCTATATTTTTTTGTTAACCTTTTAGTCCAAAAAGACAAAAAGTGCACTTACTTAGGACACCCCAAACAACCCCTTAGTAAACGAGTTGAATTTGAATTCAAGTTCGAATATTAGACTTGTTTCATAAACGAACCGAACTCAAGCTCGAACTCGCATAAGTTCGACTCGTCAAACTTAACTCATTTATCTTTATTTAAATTATATAATAAATATATTATTTATATATTAGATAATAATATAAATATATTATTTATATATTAAAATAATATTAAAAAATATCTTATTAAGTTCAAATTTTATTAATATTAACCAATCTTAATATTAACCAATCGAGTTCAATCAAATTTGAATTCAATTAGTTATCAAGTCTTTAATTAGTTATCAAGTCGAGCCGAATTCAAACTCAATAAACAAACAAATCGACTTGAAGTCAACAAAACTCAATCCTACTGGTCTACAATTCACATGGCCCAATAACACCCATCTACATAGCCATTGTTTCTGAAGTGGGTATGGGGCTAAAATAACTAAAAATAATAAATAAATTTTTTAATCTTAATAAGATAAAATATCACATATAATTCATAATTATTATATTCTTTTTTTTACAAAAAAAATCAAAAAAATTAAAAGAAACCAAAAACTCATCCGAAATTAAACTTTTTTGAAAAATGCCTCGTAGCTCGACTTTTAGAGGCTCGAAACGGCTCGAAATGAAGAAAGAGGGAGAGAAGAGAGGAAACAGAGGAGAAAGAGGGAGAGAAGAGAGGAGAAAGGAAAGAAGCAGAGGAGAAGCAGAGCCTCGCCACCGCCACCGTCGCCGCCGATCGTCGCAGCAGACCGTCGCCTCGCCTAGCCCCGGTCGTCTGCCCAGCCCCGCCGACGTTGCAGCACCACCGTCGTCTGCCAGCCCCGGTCGTCTGCCCAGCCTCCCCTCCTCCTCCAACCGATTTTTATGGCCCCCTCCCCTCCTCCTCCTCCTCCTCCTCCTCCTCCTCCTCCATTCTCTTCTTCTCCTTTCTTCTTCTTCTTCTTCGTTATGCAAAAAAACTAGGAGAAAAAAAACAAAATGATGTCATTTTGGTGTCGAGCCAGATTTCGAGCCGTGTTATTCGAGCTACCAATCGGAATCGAACTTTTTAACCCTAAACTAAAAAAGTCAAAAAAAAGTCAAAAAGTCAAAAACCAACCCACTTACCAAACTAAGGCCAAGTTTGACATACACAAAATAATTCATCTTTTTATCTTTTTATCATCACATCACTTTTTTACTTTTTTACATATCTTTTTATAAAAAGACAAAAAATACACTTATTTAGGTCATCCCAACAACCCCTAAGCCTATGATGCACACTCCACCTTTTCACCTTTTCCTGTACTTTCCCACACACAAGTATTTGTTCTCTAGTTTATCTCTCTCTCGTCCTGAAATAACATACAAATCAGTTCAGAGAATACAATCAAGACTCTTTCTCAATCTCTCTGCAAATTAGTGGACTTCTCTAATGGCGAGACCCAATCAAGAAGCAATCGAGACCTTCATGAGCATCACCGGCGCGTCAGAGTCGGTCGCCTTGCAGAAACTCGAGGTGAATTTTTAATTTTTTCGTTTTCCCCCCCTTCATTTAGCGATCGAAATTCGCGATTAATGTAATTGTTTGTCCTAGGGTTTTGTATTGGAGTTTCGATATTTTGTTCATGTGTTGCGTTGCGTTGCGTGTTGGGTTGTTGGAATTAGCGTAAAGTTAGGGTTTTTTTATTTTTATTTTTAATTAAAAAGACTGCTTCGATTGTGGATTTAGTTTGTGAGTGCTGTTCTATTCTCATTATCATCTGTAAAATGATTAATTTTCTTAAACCATCTTTCTGGTGCCGAGGAAACTCAGTAGAACTGTAATTTTCAATCTTCATCTGGTTTTTTTTTTTTTGCTTTTTTGTTTTTGGGTACCTCATGTGTTTTTGGTTTGAAATGATGTCTCTAAGTCAAAAAGAGTTATTTTTGGCTCAGTCAAGAGGAGGTTTATTGTTCCCAGCTCGCTATTATTGTGAATTGAAGATTTCAAATTTTGAATGACCATATTTTATATATTCTGGGCAAACCAATTTTAGCATAAGCTTCATGTGGTCATAAATGAATGCTTTTGTTATCCTGAAGGATTAATTTGCATTCTAGATAGCTCGAGGGCATTGATGTCACGGTATTCAGTAATTGACGGTGGATGTCTTTGGAATTGATTACAGTTTTTCTTTTATTTTTCTTTATGGTTTGTTGTTTATTAGGGTCCTTGTTTATGAAGGTGTGTGACTATATGTGAACTAGCACAACCATCCTTTATCGTGTCTAATTATGTTAAAGATAAACCACTAAGCATGACTCTAGTAGAGTTAGAATTGGCAACCAATTGAAGATTGTTTCAGATGATATGGTTATGTACATGTGCCCAATTAATGTGCATGGAAGGATGAGTGATTTGATCCACGTAGAGGGTTGTAAAAGAAATAGAGGGAAGCCAAAGAGAACTTTGGTTGAGGTGGTAAGAAAAGATATGGTGATCTTAAACTTAACTGATAATATGAGTGCTAATTGCATCAATTGAAGAAAATGGAACTATGTAGCCGATCCCAAGTAACCAGGATAAAGACTTGTTGAGTTGTGTTCGGTTTATGGTTTATTGTTGATCATTAGTTGGCGGAATTCTTTGCAGGCAGTTGGTTGCATTCATGTGCACAAAACATGCAGGCATATTCACACATTTGTGTGAAATGATGGACTAATTAGCATGTTCTCAAGATCTTCCTGATGGCGTTTGGTTGAGGGTTTTTTTCCCCCCACTTGAGTTTAGGATTGATTGTGTAGCTTGTTAAGTGGTGATTGAAGTCTTTAATTTTGTTTTGTCAACACACCAATACCTTTGTCTAGGAGCCACTGTAATTCCTGGAAAAGAAAGGGATATTTTATGATACAGGAGACAAATGATAAGGAACGGGAAGATGATTAAGGTTAATGAGAAAGAAAGGAAAGACAAATGGATAGTCAGGAGAGGTAAATTGGATTTGAATTGAATATTTGTCAGAGTTTTTTAGTGTTCGTTAGGTGCTCTGAGACTCATGTTCAGTGGAAAATTGTTTGTTGTCATTGTTTTTTAAAGCAGGTAAAGGAAACTAAAGCATAGTTTACTCTTTGGGGCTAGTTGGTTAGATTTGTTGCTTGATTGTTGTTTTTGTTGGCTCTTTTTCTTTCTTTCTTTCAATTTTTATCATTTTTTTTTTCTAAATTTTTTTAAATATCTACATAATCAAGAGAGCATCCTCTTGGTACTTGGATCACACTGAAAATCCTTCGAAGAAGGTATAGATAAATGAATCAAATATACACAACTAGGCGAAACATACACTAAAATTAAGTGTTTGTGACATGTGTATATATATTTATTTAAACTTGGCCTGACATTAACCATTAAGGAACAAGTCCCATTAGTCATTGTTTCGACTGGTGTGTTAACTAGTTGAACCATCATATGCTGAAAATTGTTGTAAATTTTAAGAAACATATGAACATTAGATAAATATAAGGTTAAAAGAATTTGTGCGCGCGTGCATGTGCTTATATGCCTAGATGAACATGTCATTTTGTTTTTACTCAAACTTATCTATTTATTTTGACAACTTTCTTTAGCATTTTTGGGTCAGTTTTGGTTATTTTTATAATTCCTTTGAGATTCTTATTTAAACTAAAATCACTTTTTAATTTATGTTAGCCAACTTTCTGATAAGAAATCATTTAGCTGTCTGTTTATGTGGTGCTCTTCCTCTATAGCTTTCGCTACCAACTAGGAGCTCCCTTAACTTGGAGAATGAAAATTTTCTTTCAGAAATTCTGAATCAGATTCCACATGCATTAACTTCTCATTTGGCACTCAATCAGCCCACTAGGAATGTTTATGGCTTTACCATAGTTATTACCATTAGTCATTCTGTATGAACGGCAATGTGGTAAAAAATATCCCATGTAATATATGTAGATGTTAGATTTACATATTCACTAAAGAATACTATCTCCTTATTGTTATTGCCTATGTGTAATCCAAAGTTGACTTCATGATTTTTCTTCCACTGTGAGCAGATTTCTGGCAAATATAGTAATCAAATACTCCATTTATGGGCTGTCTATCACATGATCATAGCTTTAAAATTGAGTATCTACTTTCTTTTTTTGTTTGTTTGTTTGTTATTATTAAATGGTGGTTTTGCATGAATATAATATTTCGAATTAAGCATGAGGACAAGCTAAGATCATGCAATTGAAGAATTAATATATGTGTACTCAGTATCTTTAAGGAGCAGAAGCGTGCTTTTAATTTGAGAAACCTGTTTAAAATTAGCTTCTGCCAGATTAAATGGAGCATAATTTTATCTCTGCCAATAATTTATCATAAAAATGAAAGAAAAAAGTTTATACTCTAGAAAGAAAGCAACTTCAACAGCATGTTTTAAGGTCCCAATGTTATTCGAATCTGTTTCCATTGTCTGTTGTGCATCTACTGGTTACACCGTTACAATAATAGCTATGTCTATGTATGAATTTGAAGATGTCTGTTATTCAAATTTGAATCATTTAGTGGTGCAACTGAGCAGTTTTCTTTTATAAATATTTTATTTTAGAAAATTTTGTCCTCCCTTTTCTTAATTTCAAATATGATGGTGATTTTCTTTCTTTTTTAGGAGCATGGTGGAGATCTTAATGAAGCTGTTAATGCACATTTTAATGAAGGAGATAGAAGCATGTCAGGGTTTGCTTATGCTGTTTTCATGCCATTTTTTTCTACTTTCTCTTAAATTGACAAAAGCTTCTGAGTATACTGAACTTCTTTTCCTGACATTGATAATTTTTGTGTTTTTCTGTGTTCAGCATACATGAAATATCCACTGCTGCCCCTCAGAATGATGCCATGGACATAGATGAGCCTATTCAAGTTGGGCTCCCACGACTCCCATTCTCACTATTACCTTCTACTAGAAATTTGAATCCGTTTTCTCTTCTTGATCCTGACTTCAGCAGAAGTTTATTTGATAGTGGTCCTGATTTGCCAACCCGTGCACCATTTGTTTCACATCCAAGAGAAGTAAGGGAGATTCCCATTGAGGTCAAGGATGGGAGTGAACAGGAAGGCCATTCTGGCCTTGTACCTTCCATAGAGGATGTCACTGAAACTGCACAAGCGCAAGGCCCAGAAACCCATGGAACTGTCATAATTGATGAGGATGATGATGAAGATATTCCAACTGCTCCGTCTGGACATGCTGCTGGGCAGAATGAACAAGAAAATGATGCGCTGGGTAATAATTCTCGTGGCACTTATCCTATGCCAACTGCCCCTGGAATTGATGATTTGCCTGACTACAGCAATGACATAGAAGAAGAAATGGTTCGAGCTGCTATTGAGGCTTCAAAAAGGGAGGTTGGAAAAGGTTACCTGGATCAACAATTTGACGCTCCTGATGTATGTATAGTTTTACTCTCTAAGCAGCTTGTTTCTCTGTACTTGATCTGGTTTAATTATTTGATGTTTTTTCATCTGGATGTAGTACTTAAGTAATCCTGGGACTCAACAAAGGCAATCTCACCTAGAGGATGCTGAACTTGCACATGCAGTTTCATTGTCAATGAAGGTTTGTGAATTTTTTTTTGGGATACTGTGACACCCTTACATTGTCATTCGCACTTGCCTTACTTGAATTGGATTTAAAGGCAGTGGAGCAAGAGAAAGCTTTGCTCGAAGCGGGGGAGAAAGGTGGAGCATCAGAACTGGAACCTTTCAAGTCAACAGAGTTGGGGGATATGGGAAAAATGACATCATCGAATGGAAGGTATATGTCAATTGTTGCTACTTAATAATGCGATAGGCACACTTTGTATGGTTACTTGCTGGCGAATTTCCTATATGTGCATTTTTGTGCTTGTGTTGGTGTTAAAAGTTGGAGGCAAGTATTTGTTCCTCCTGACAAGTGTACTTCAAGGCAATCTAGGTTGGATGTGGGAAGCTCGTCAATTCAAGAAGAAGCTGAGGATGTGGAAGAGCAGCCACTGGTTAGGCACAGGAGTAGGCGCATGCCTTCTGCCTCTGTTGACTCTGCCAAAGAAATTGGAGAAGTTGAGATTACCCCACCATCAAGTCCTGGACAGGATAATAGTATTAATCATCCACCGCACAATGCAAATGATTTCCAATCTGATGAGGTATTTTGTTTAAAAATTCTCAACATGAATTCCTCACAGCATTTTCAAACCATTCATGTAGTCAAGTTCTACAAATACAAACTATTTTTTTATTTGGTCCTTGTGCTTTCAAGTGGGGAGGCATATCATCTGAGGAACATGATGAAGCTATTATGCTGGAGGCTGCACTGTTTGGTGGAATGCCTGGAGGAAGTGAATATCGTTTTCCATATGCACCTCATCAGCTCATGCAGAATGGTTTAGATAGAAATCCGGGCCCTTATCCACTGCAAATGCCTCGTCCCCCATCACCTGGTCTCACTGCTCAGCGCTTGATTAGGGAACAACAGGTTTGAATCTTGAGCTGGCTATCATTAAATTATCAGATAGGGGTAATTGATTATACTACTTCCAATTTTGTAGGATGATGAATATCTTGCATCACTGCAAGCTGATAGAGAAAAAGAGCTAAAGGCAATTGAAGAAGCTGATGCTCGGCGTTTAGAAGAGCAAGCAGCTAGAGAAGCTGCTCTTGAAGAAGAAAGGCGAATGGAAGAAGAATCACGTAGAAAATTGGAGGAAGAACAGGTAATATTATTTAAAAATTCAATTTCTAATGTGGCAGCACTAGATGTTGTGGAACTGCTCATGGGTCCTTTTTTATATTTATTTATTAGTTATTTCTCCATTACACCTTGCATAATAGATATATCCCCATAATTTAATATAGAACTCGATTCTTCAAGCTCTTTTTCTATTACACCTTGCATAATAGTTTTTCTAAAAATTATCACCGAGATACTAATTAAACTACAAATAAAAATATAAAATATAAAATTATGAAATAAATAAAATCTCCATGCCAAACTTAAAAAGCGCATGTTCCACATCAATGAGGTTGCAGCCCATTATATCAATCACACTGGCAATTCAATATAAGTAGCCACATAACTTGCTATGCCATGCAAAGGCAATAGTTATCCTAGACAACCATCACATATGTGAAGTAAGTGTACCTTCTACAAAGACATGCACTACTGAAATTAAACATTTTATGTGGGATCTCATGGACCTCTGTGAAAGCAGCAAGTACAGTAGACCACTGGAAGAAAAGTTTACAATCAATTACCATTGCTATGCCTACAGCTTCGGCATTATTTTTCCCAATTAGTATTATAAAGTTCTTAACCTAGTCCAAATTAGCAGATTGGCATATTGTAAATTTATATTATTAATCTCTCATTTTTCTTTTTGAGATTGTTTGAATTTTACGCTTCTGTATATTATGCTTGTCGATCCTGTCCAAATGGAATTGGTGCATCCTTTGCATCAAGACGTTCTGGCACAGTTCCCCTCAATATATTATTTTAATTTTTAAGCTTCCTGTTGGATGAGAAGGACAGGCACTGTTCTAGATTATGTTCAGAGTTTCCATATTCATCCCTGGAGACTTATTTATTTATTTTGACTACAGGAGATTGAGAGACAGCTAGCAGCAAAGGAAGCTTCCCTTCCTCAGGAGCCAAGTCCAGAGGATGAGAAAGCTGTAACTCTTCTAGTGCGGATGCCTGATGGCAGCCGTCATGGTCGCCGGTTTCTGAAGTCTGACAAACTGCAGGTATAATTTGCGGTTAAGATTTACATTGCATTGATGTAATTGGTACCTTCTTCTGCACATTCTTGTGGATTAACGTGAGTGATTTGCTTTGCAGTCCCTTTTTGACTTCATTGATGTTGGTAGAAGGGTCAAGCCTGGCACTTACAGATTGGCAAGTTTTTCTTCTATATGCTTTAATATTTCAAATACTATAGCCACCAGCAGTTATGTTAGCTGTTTGTTTTGCATAGTGAATTGGCCTTTTTTGCTTTGATTGGCATTCAAGAAATATTAGTTACTGTTTCAAAGGTCTCCAAGTGAACTTGAAACTCAGTAGACCTAGACTAACTAGGCTAAAATTCTACCTTTACTGATAAAGGAGTGCTCAGAATTCCTCGTTGCATTGTGATCGAACTTTCTGAGTTTTCTAGAAATTAAACCATTTATATAAAAAAAGACCAAACATAAGTGGATTTTTTGAATTTTATGATGTATTTATTCATGAAATTGGCTTAACTCAACGAGCTTTTACTGCCATTACATGTGATTGGCTACATGGATCCATGTCCTCCCTTTGGCTCTATTAGAAGTCACATAATCAGTTAAGGGTTAGGCAGTCATGTCTGTGATGCATTTATTCATGTGGAATGCTAGTAGAGACCCACAAGTTAAATCTCCAAATTCACCCACACCACAATAACATGGCAAGGGAGTTGGGCTTTACATGATTGAGTTTGTAACAAATCAAAAGTTGACACGTAACTTGCCATGTCATTGTGGGCTAAATTAGGGACGCTTTTTAGGAGTCTCAATCTTTTTCCTTTATTCATACTTTGATTCTTTTAGTATATATATTTTTTGGGGTTCAAATCAAAGTCATTATAAGTCAAATTGCGAAATTAATTAAAATCCACAACTTAGAATCTGATAGAAAGGGTATTTGTGTGTTCAGTTCAATCTCCATATTTCTTCAGGTTTATGTTCTTTTTGGACAATTCACTTGGAAATATGAGTATGTTATACTATAGTCTTGAAATCTGAGGCAATGACAGTTTGAATCATTCGTTGTCATGCTAAATTAGTACCTAATTAACATATCGATGCTAGATGGACTACAACTGGGGATTCAAATGTTAATTTTTTGCCTACTCTGAATGTTCTTGTGCTATTGTTGGGCAGGTGAGGCCATACCCTCGGCGTGCTTTTAGTGACGGTGAAAGTGTCTTGACTCTGAGTGAACTAGGCTTGATTGGCAAGCAAGAAGCCCTATTTCTGGAGTTGATTTAGCATGATCCTTCTGTAAAGCTGTAAAATATATATATATATATATATCCTGAAAAATGTAGTCCACTTAAACATATATATAATTCAAACATGGAATGTGAGACCGTCGGTTGTTTTATGATATTTGGTTGGAAGAGGTGGCAACAGAATCGTTCTGGGCAAACGGGCAGACTAATAGTAAACAATAATGAATGTTTGACTTAGGCATTCTTGATGGCTCGTGGGAATGGCTTATTTGTATGAAGAATTTATGGCAGTTAAAGATCACAGAGAACTGACATGAAAAGTTTGTCTGAAGATGGCATATGTGGTTTGCTATGCAGCTTGTATACTTGTACATTTATGAAAGGTTTTCACGCTTGGATGATTGGGGAAAAAAAATTCATGTAGCCAAGCTCAGTCTTATCTAATGAGGATATACTTTACAAGACAATCTTGAGTACACATTAGGGCTGTTTGGTATCATTTCATTTTTAATTTTTTCCAAAAAGCTGAAAAAACCCATTGTTTTAATGTTTGGTTTTGTTTTTATGCAAAAAAACCATTTTCAAAATTCAGAAATTGAGGGCTTCTTAAAAATAGGAGTGTTGAAACATTTTCCCAATACAGTTTTCAAAAATTGTTTGTCAGACAAGTCTATTACTGTATTTGTGCATTTTTTTTGTCTGGATATCTGTAAGGGAGAAAAATGATTTTGATGTTTTAAAGCACATTGTAAGGTGATTAGACATGGAATCACTACTGTAGTGAGTGATTAACAAAGTCACAAAGAAACAATAATAACTTTGCAACGCTTATCTTCATATTTCTATTACACATTCATTAAATTAAAATAATTCTAACCCATAAAATTAAATTTTACTTTTATAATTTTTTGTTATATAACACAACTCACAAAATTTCACAAAATATTAATGGAGATGCTTACGAGGTCATGTTGGTTTTGCAATGAAAACAATACATTTACTAAAGGCGTGTGGCTAGATGTGAAATTTCAACATATTTGATTTTTTTACAGAATGTCCGGATTAACTTAACGCGTACCCCAATTAACAATAATGATTGGTATCTACCACTAAACCATCACTAATGGGGTGAAATTTTTTTTTTAAAAAAAAAAAAAAAAAAAAAAAGCAACAATGTGGCAGTGAGTGGGATTCACTGTCACATCATTAGTGGTCTCAAACATTTTTATCCCAATTAATTAAAAAAAATTTCAGCATATTTTGATAGCTTTTGAACTTTGCCAGAAGTAAAAGTGATTATTATTAGGTTCATGGATGATGGTGATTGGTTGATCAGTGACAGGTGGCCACTGTCCGATGGAAGAGGTTAAATAACAGTTCAGTTGCAAAACTGTACACACATTGTAGAGCCAAAATCAGAGGAAAGTTACTGTCAAATAAGCCCAGTGTACTTTTTTAGCTCTTCTTCAAGTATGTACGTGCATATGTGGGTCTAGACTTGTGTCTTATCTTATCTGATACCATTTTTTTTTTCCGATGACGAGATAGATATTGAAATCAGTTTATGTGTATTGTGACTAATTTGAAATTTATGTAAAATGTTTTTTCTCACGTGGATCGATTAAATTTCTTACACACATTACTTTAAGAAGTTAATAATATTTAATGTTTTATATGATATCATTTTTTTTTTTCCGATGACGAGATAGATATTAAAATCAATTTATGTGTATTGTGACTAATTTTGAAATTTATGTAAAATGTTTTTTTTTTCATGTGGCTCGAATAAATTTCCTACGGACATGACTTTTAAGAAGTTAATAATATTTAATAAGAGTTGAACCTCAAAAATCCCAAGCTGCACTCTAAGCCAACCCCTTGCTTCATATGATACATTTAGCTCTTGTTGTGTTGGCAGCAATAAGGAGGAAGCTGCGGAGGTGGCAAAGGATTGTGGCTGAAGGGCAAAATAATTTGAAATGATATAAGTTAATAATTTTATCAAACTGGTGTTCGGGTTATAAATATAATCTTAAAATTTTTTGAGCTAAAATAATAAAAATTTTCTGTTCATGTCACTTATTTATCTACTTATATGTTTACATTACCATTTGTCTACTTATTTATCCAAGTATTATCTATTGGTTCACGTGACATTTTTTATTTATATTAAGGCATCTATTTGTATACTGAATTTGTATATTTGTCCATATTACTATCACACGTTGCTGTTGATTTTCCAGTGACTTCAAGAAATTCTTACATCGCTGACGATGGTTTGGTGATGGTGAGGTAGAAACAAAAAAAAAAAAAAAGAAATTTAAAATAATAATTTATTATTGGCTTGATTAGGTCTTGTTTGACATATACTAAAAAAGTTAAAAAGTTAAAAAGTCAAAAAATTACTATCTTATTTTGGTCACATCATTTTCTTTAAGTCACATCACCTCTCTATCGCATCACTTTAAACTCAACCCATATTCAATCCATATTTCATAGAAAGTTAAAAAATACACTTATTTAGAACATCCCAAACCACCCCTAAGACTTCCTCAACTATTAGTAAATATCACTTTACTTTCTAACGACATTTACTAATAATTTTTTTTTTTGATAATCGGATATTTGGACCAATTTACGTACATCTTAACTAATTTCAGAGGATTAATCCCACTCCAGATCTCAAGTTGTGCCTACTAAGCCAATCAATTGATTTTAATATACAATAAAGGTTAAGAAAATCTTAGTATAAATAATTTATTATTCCGTTCAATGTCATATACTTCATAGAAATGGATTTTATCACCAAAAAATCCTTTACTAAAAACAAAGAATTAAAAATTTTGGTGACAATGGCTCGAGTACCTACCCACCTACCTAGTTTTTCCTATTCTTTCAAAGAGAAGCCGCGGTAATCTGGTGGAAATTTCACCAAAGCAAAAGTAACCCCCAACGGTCAAGAAGAAGGATGTACCTGTCTCATACACTGGACACATGCACGTGCAACCTACGTGCTATTCATCAGACCTCTCTCTCTCTCTCTCTCTCTCTCTCTCTCTCTCTCTCTCTCTCTCTCTACTCTATACACACACAAAAAAAAAATTCAATTAATAAATTTTGCATAAAATACGAATTTACGTCATGTCTTTAAAGTTTTTAATAGTATAGAAAATGATTTATTTTATTAATAAATTATTAAATTAATTAAGTTATTGATGATGTGAGAAATATATTTTAAATAAGACAATTTTTAAAAATATAAAAAAACAGTTGTATTTTAAATAAACTTTGGTTGATGTATTTTTAATTGAGAAAATTATAAATCAGCGAGACAGTGAAAGAGTAGCTGCATTTTCATGATAGTGCAAAACTGTGGTGGAATAATTTATTCACTATCCCACTAATTTGCAATTTCTCCTTTCTTATTTCCAAAAAAAAAAAAAAAAATCACACTTTTTCTTACATTTCTTGTTTTCCTGCATATTGTCTTCTCAACTACCATTCACGTAAAAACCATCAGTCTTGTTTGTTTAAATATGCAGTAGTGTTCCATCCCGTGCTATGCACGAGTTGTGTTTATAATTATTTGTATATATATAAATTGTGATTTTTAAATATTTTTTTTCTTTTTTTTTCATACAAATCAATTTCTTGATTTTCGCATGATATTTCTTTCATAGTGCATCTCCGAGTGTATTAGTGAAAACATCATACAGAGAGTGTGTGAAAAAAAAAAAAAAAAAAAAAAGAAATTTAAAATAATAATTTATTATTGGCTTGATTAGGTCTTGTTTGACATATACTAAAAAAGTTAAAAAGTCAAAAAATTACTATCTTATTTAGGTCACATCATTTTCTTTAAGTCACATCACCTCTCTACCACATCACTTTAAACTCAACTCATATTCAATCCATATTTCATAAAAAGTTAAAAAGTACACTTATTTAGAACATCCCAAACCACCCCTAAGATTTCCTCAACTATTAGTAAATATCACTTTACTTTCTAACGATATTTACTAATAATTTTTTTTTTTTATAATCGGATATTTGGACCAGTTTACGTACATGTTAACTAATTTCAGAGGATTAATCCCACTCCAGATCTCAAGTTGTGCCTACTAAGCCAATCAATTGATTTTAATATACAATAAAGGTTAAGAAAATCTTAGGCCAAGTTTGGCTAAACTAAAAAAGTGCACTTATTTCATCTTTTTATCTTTTTTTAGTCACATCAATCAACATCTCCTCTCTATTTTTTTTTACACATAATATAAGAAAAATAAAAAAATATACTTATTTAGTCTTTCCAAACTTGACCTTAGTATAAATCATTTATTATTCCGTTCAATGTCATATACTTCATAGAAATGGATTTTATCACCAAAAAATCCTTGACTAAAAACAAAGAATTAAAAATTTTGGTGACAATGGCTCGAGTACCTACCCACCTACCTAGTTTTTCCTATTCTTTCAAAGAGAAGCCGCGGTAATCTGGTGGAAATTTCACCAAAGCAAAAGTAACCCCCAACGGTCAAGAAGAAGGATGTACCTGTCTCATACACTGGACACATGCACGTGCAACCTACGTGCTATTCATCAGACCTCTCTCTCTCTCTCTCTCTCTCTCTCTCTCTCTCTCTCTCTCTCTACTCTATACACACACAAAAAAAAAATTCAATTAATAAATTTTGCATAAAATACGAATTTACGTCATGTCTTTAAAGTTTTTAATAGTATAGAAAATGATTTATTTTATTAATAAATTATTAAATTAATTAAGTTATTGATGATGTGAGAAATATATTTTAAATAAGACAATTTTTAAAAATATAAAAAAACAGTTGTATTTTAAATAAACTTTGCTTGATGTATTTTTAATTGAGAAAATTATAAATCAGCGAGACAGTGAAAGAGTAGCTGCATTTTCATGATAGTGCAAAACTGTGGTGGAATAATTTATTCACTATCCCACTAATTTGCAATTTCTCCTTTCTTATTTCCAAAAAAAAAAAAAAAAAGCAAAAGTAAATAAAAGAATAAAATCCACACACTCAGTCTACAATATTCCGTACACCAACGGTCATATTTCACCGACAACGTTCCAACGGTCACATGACCCATCACTCTACACCGTCTGATCTCCATCCCACGGCCCCAACTCCCCACTTCTCCACACACTACACTTCTTTTCACTGACCCATTGATCAGTCTTATTTCCAACCCCCAAGGTAGCAGTAGTAGTGGTAGTAAATGTAAACAGAGACACTGAAGTAGTATAGTGAGTGAGACAGTAACAAAGAGTCTCTCTCATCATATAAAAACAGAGTCCTGTTTTGATGTATGGCTTTTTGGGTAGTTGATTGAGTCTCTTGAGAACTGTCGCTTTTTTTGATCAGTTTGTTTCATGTTTGAAGGGTTTTGAATGTTGGGTTTTGGTTTTGATTCATTGTCAGCTGTGATGGACATGTTGTATGCTCCAAATTCTGATCTGGGTCATTCGATTCCTCTGAATTTGAGCTACCAATTTGAGCCACAATGCATTCGGAGTTCAGACCATGGTGTGAGTTTCAATCACTTCGAGTCCTCCAGCTTTTTCTCAATCATCTCTGTTTGAAAATTTCGGAGTGCGATGATCATTTTCAAGTAGGTGTCAATATTGTATTTTCAATTCTTTGATTCTTTCTCTATACATTACATTGTCATATAGGGACACACACACACACACATATACTCAAATTAAACATTTTTACTTGTTTTCTTTACTTTCTTTCGGCGTAAAATTCATCGGATTCTTGTTAATTTTTTTAGTTTTTCGATTTGTTAATACTTCACATACCCATATAGTTTTCTGTTTGTTTCTCTGGATTTCTCTTGACATAGTTACACACAAAGCCCCATATAAATTCAGAGAATTCACACAGGATAGTCATACATTACATAGTATTTAGAGAGAGAGAGAGAGAGAGAGAGAGAGACAGAGAAGGGTGGGTGAGTTGGAGTTGAACAAAACAAATTAGAGAACTGGAAGAGGAGAGAGAATGTTGGCTGGGCGTTCTTCTGCATTGTTGTCCCCAAGGCATAGATTGAGGAGCGAAGCATCTGCACAGTTTCAAGCTTGTCATTTTCCTTCAATGAGTACACAAAGACTTGAATTGCCATGTAGTTTCCCAAGAAAAGACACCTCAAGATCACAACCCATTAGGCCAGTGGGCCTTTCTGTTGAGAAGCCACTCGAATCGAAGACCAGTAGTTGTTCTCTGAAGCACAACATTATCGAAGGTAGGAGAGAAATCAAAGATGAATTTTGGGAGAAAGGTAAGAGCTTGAAGAGGTTTGCTGAGCAGAGCTCTTTGGATGGTGAAGATGATGATCAGTACTGCATAAATAGGGCTAAGAGGAAAAGAGGCAATGGAAAATCAGAGGATTGTCATGAATCTGGTGAGGAACTGAGTTTAGGCCAACTGGGTATTGGGAAATTTTGGTTTCAGCCTCAATATCCTTTTCCTGTGACATGTTCAGGAGAGGAAGAGAGGGTTTGTTTTGTGCCCAGTGATGTTATTTCACCATCTTTGCCTCTATCAATCGCTCCGTGGGTTGAATCTGTTGAGACGACGAGCCATGGGCCAGCTCAGGAGGCGTCAGGATCGAGTACTTCATCGGAGAGTAGTCATAGTTTGGCCCTTAGTCTAAATGACAACTTTCCAGGACATGAAACAGGTAATGGGTCCGGGGCCTCGGGGCTACCTAACCCAAGTGAAGGCGCAGAGATGGTTGTTTCAGGTGACAATGACAACTGCGGGGATGAGGAGAGTGATGGGTTTGAGCTCATCCGCTTACTAATGGCTTGTGTCAAAGCAATTGGCTCAAAAAACATTGCAGAAATTAACCATTTCATCGCTAAACTTGGTGATCTTGCTTCCCCAAGAGGACCTCCCATAAGCCGTGTCATTGCTTACTTCACCGAAGCTTTAGCTCTGAGAGTTACTAGACTTTGGCCATATGTTTTTCACATCAATACCCCTCGGGAGCTTGATCGGGGAGACGATGATGGTGGCAATTCATTAAGGCTTTTGAACCAGGTGAGCCCAATTCCAAAGTTCATTCACTTCACTTCAAATGAAATTCTATTGAGGGCTTTTGAAGGGAAAGATAGGGTTCACATCATAGATTTCGACATTAAGCAAGGACTTCAATGGCCTAGCTTGTTTCAGAGCTTGGCCTCTAGGACTAACCCTCCAAGCCATGTTAGAATCACCGGTATTGGTGAATCCAAGCAAGACCTAATTGAAACAGGAGATAGACTTGCTGGATTTGCCGAGGCATTGAACCTTCCTTTCGAATTCCATCCAGTTGTCGACAGGTTAGAAGATGTGAGGCTGTGGATGCTTCATGTCAAGGAGAAAGAAAGTGTTGCTGTGAATTGCATTTTTCAACTGCACAAGATGCTTTATGACGGTAGTGGAGGCGTGCTTAGAGACTTTTTGGGTCTAATTCGAAGCACAAACCCAACAATCGTTGTTATGGCAGAGCAAGAAGCAGAGCACAATGATACCAGTTTGGAAGAAAGACTTTCGAATTCATTGAAATACTATTCTTCAATTTTTGACTCCTTCGATTCTAGCCTTGCATTGGACAGCCTAGTTAGGATCAAGGTAGAGGAAATGTTTTCCAGAGAGATTAGGAATATAATCGCGTGTGAAGGAAGAGACAGGCTTGAAAGGCACGAGAGGTTTGCGAAGTGGAGGAATTTGATGGAGCAAGGAGGGTTCAGATGTATGGGAATTAATGAGAGAGAATTGCTTCAGAGCCAAATGTTATTGAAGATGTACTCTTGTGAGAGTTATAGTGTGGAAAAGCAAGGACAAGACGGAGATGCTGTTATGCTAAGTTGGTTAGATCAGCCTCTTTTCACTGTCTCAGGATGGGCACCAGTTGATGTTGCAGCCAGCTCTTCATCATACTCACAGCCAACTTGACTTCTGCAAACGTTCCATTGTTTTCATTCCGTTCTCACATACAGGAACATATATTAAATTCTTTGTAGGTAGATAAATCTTTCGACATTCTTTCATTCTTTTGTTGCAGATAAGATTAGAGGTATCAATTCTTCTCAGGACAAATTTCTAGGCGTTCAGTCGTAGTTTTTGACTCTCACTTTGTGTTTTATTCTTTGATTCTTTCTTTATGTATCCTTTCTTATTTGGTCCATTTTTTATTTTTATTTTTAAAGTGTGTATTCTTTTGTTGAAGAATCATTATCATTATTTTGAACCATGTAGTTTAAATTTGTATCAATCAATATATGTATGAAATGTTTCATTTGTGTTTTGAGTCGTGAATTCTTCATTTTTACCATCTATTTGACATTGCATAGATTTACATTTATCACATTTCATTTGTGTGATACAATCCAAACAGGGTTCATTATTATCACATTTTACATTTTGTTCAACTGACGTAACAAGTGACAGAGACAGTACATATATCGGAAACTCCATTTGATCACTTCCTAACTTTAGGAATGACAAGTAGAGGTTGTTCCCTCTGCAATGTCAGTGCAAATTTCTCAGTCATGTCAAGCTCATTGGGACTAATCCCAAGTGGGAGAGACCAATCGAAGAAATGAATCAAAGAAGCAAGAACCAAAGGTACTTGCTTTGCAGCCATCGAAAGGCCAGGACAGATTCTCCTACCTGCACCAAACGGTACAAATTCATAATCACCCCCTTTGAAATCCAACGCAGAAGTTAGAAACCGCCCTGGATTAAATTTTAACGGTTCTACCCAAATTGTGGGGTCTCGTCCAATCGCCCAAACATTTACGACCAGTTGGGCATTTTTAGGAATGGCATAGTTCATCACTGTGCAAGATTCAAGTGCACGGTGTGGAATCAGAATTGGGGCAGGAGGATGGAGCCTTAGAGTCTCTTTGACACAGGCTTGAAGGTACGGTAGCTGAGGAAGATGGGATTCTTTTGCGAAATCATGGTTTATTTCTCTTGCTAGCTCTTCACGAACTTTGTTCATGGACTCTGGATTTTTTATCAGTTCTGCCATTGCCCACTCTATTGTTGAGGTACTAGTGTCTGTGCCAGCAGAGATCAGCTCCTGCCAACGCAAACATTTTGAAATCAGTATAATTGAGAAATCATGCAAGTAGTGTTGTTCGTGTCGTTTTAAACCCAACTTGTTTAAGTCATCTCAACACTAACCCAACTCGTTTAAGTCATCTCAACACCATTTAGTGCAAATAACATTAAAATGGGGTAGCTAAATGAGTTATTCATATCAATTTTGTACTATGCAGGTACACCACCTTGACATGTTTATTTATGCTGCTATCATGTCGTGTCATAATGGGGTTATGTCAGAAAATGTTCAATCTTAATGCCTAACTTCGTGAATGATTTGTGTCGCCTTAGACATTTCAATCACTGATTTTAGAGATAAAAGGGTAAGCACTGTAGTTGTATTTATCAGCAACTAGATTATAACAAGAAAGAAAAAGGCAAAGAAAGAGAGCAAACCGTAGTCAAATGGTTGATTTGATCATTGGTAAATGCATTGTCAAGAAGAGCATCCAAGAAATCTTCTTGTCTTGAAATTTTACTTGTTTTCCTCTCTCGTCTTTCTTCAATAATAGGCTCCCACAAAGCACAAATTCTCATGAACAACTCCTTAGACTTCTTATTCAGACCCTGAAGATCTAATGCTCCAAAAATTGGATAAAAATCAGCCAAATTTGGAGTAGAAACCACCTCAAAGATTGTCCTCAAAAGCCCTTTCATCTTTCCCTCTTCACTCTCTTCCTCCAATCTTGTAAAATCTCTTGACATCAATACATTACTCAACATATTGAACACAGTTGCAAAAACCACGTCTCCAATTTTCACTACTTTTCCCTCCATTCGACTCAAAAACTCAATCATTTCCATCACTTTCCTCTCTCTCAAACATGCTTGGGACTCTATTGCTTTCCCTGAGAAGAGCTCAGTTCGGCATATTGTACGCAGAAACTTCCAATTATCGTTACATTCGACAGCCCAACCAAGCGATAAATGGTTGAGTTCTGGGCTCTTAACTGGTGACACGTGGGGGACAAGTCGTGCAGACAATATACGATCATGGGTTTTGAGAATTTCCATAGCAACAGCAGGTGATGATCCAACGATCAAGACTTGAGTTCCAAGTTTTAGGGAGATGAGAGGACCATAGGACTGAGCAAAGTTGGATAAAGTTATATGAGGTTTTTTACCCATGTGAAGAAGATTGCCTAAAATTGGCCATGGATTTGGACCTGGTGGAAGTAGGGGAGCAGAGTTGAAATACTTGAGGAGGAAGAGTAAGAGGAGGGGTAAGAGGAGGAGGATAGGAAGAATGACATAGGTTTCAGCCATGACTTCCATGGACAAGAACCGAGAAAATCAATTCCCAGTTAGCAATAAGTTCAGAAAATATTCTAACTTGGAAAAACCCTTTATGGAGGAATGCTTATTTAGGGCACATACATTGGAGAGTCCTCTCCTCTCCTCTCCTCTCTTATTCAAAGCATATATATGCATAAAGTCAAATTAAGCCTATACAAGTATCTTAGCCTAAGTTTGGGACGTGGGTTAATTTTTTAATTTTTTAACTACCTTAGTTTGAGGTTAAAAAGTTTAATTTGGGGTAGACTTTTTAGTATTTTTAACTTTTTTAAGAGAAAAAATAAAATGATTATAGTTTGAATGTGATATTTTGTCTTATTGAGCTAAAAAACCTCTTTTGTTTTTTTGTGATTATTTTAGCCCAATAAGAGAATGCCAAAAATGATTTTATTTTGATGAAAAATTACTGGCAGTTCTAGAATTTTTTATTACTAGGGTCTATGACTCTTATTAATATCTACCATCCATTTCAAATAATTTGGCAATAATTTAAATTTCTCAAATCAAAATAAATGAAAACTTTAGCACATTCGACGAAGGAATTCAACTTCTAATTGTAGTTGGACTTAAACAAATAAAGAGGTGATTTTTATTTTTATTTATTTATATATATATATATATTTATAACAAAAGGTCTAATGACTCTAAGCTAGTTATGGTGGGTTCAATTTTTACCTAATATATACATAGATATAACTTTTTAACGCTTTCTTTTTGTCAAATCTAACAGTGTCAATTGAACCTTATATGTAGAGCTGCGTCCATGACAATCAACAATATTTTAGTAAATTATGGTGGTGTTTGGCAACCCGGTTTTGGTGCATATTTTAGTCCCAACGGAAAAAATTTCAAAAATCCGGCACTGTAGCTGAGTTAAGGGAGTGTCCAGCTGTATCGCATTATATACGGTAAAAAGACAGTTTTGCCCTCCGAACCTGCGTCATCTGGGAAGAGACACACGCACATCTCTTCTCTCTCATATCTCACATGCTCTCTACCCTCTACCTGGATGATTTCACAGCAGAGGCGATTAGCTACCTCCGGCGCACGCATTCTGGCGGAACCGACGGTGAACACCAACAAGCCGATCGTCGAGGATTCTTAAAGGTACGGATGCGAAACACCATTTGTTAGCTTTTTCTTCACCGATCTGTGAAAATGATGAACTCCCCTGCAATTTCTTTTCTTCCTTCAGCTTCGGTCGTGAACTCCCCTGATCTTCCTGGTGCGCTTCACCAGGAAGCCATTTTTTCATATTGATGTGTTTCGAACTAAACCAAACAAACCATTTTCCCTCTTTCAAATTTTCCTTCATTTTGGGTTTTATAAAATGATTTTCTAGATCAACCTTTTTTTCGTTTGTCATGTAAATAACAACTAAAAAATCTGAAATGAAAATTATGAAAAAATAACAAAAATGAAAATTATTTTTTTCGTTTGGACAAAATAACAAAAATGAAATTCTAGATCAACCTTTTTTTCGTTTGGACAAAATAACAAAAATGGAAATTATTTTTTGTACTGTAATTTTTCATAAAAATCTTAAATTCAAAATTATGAAAAAATATATAAAATTTGACTTTCATCAACAATTAATCAAATTAACAATTTACATTTGTTTCACTTATTTATTTGGGGAAAAAGTTAGGAAATCTTGTAATATGTTAACCTGTTTTAAAGTGACTGAGAAATTATCCGAAAGTAAAGGACAAAAAAAATATTTTTCGATTCTTTTAGTTGGGTTAATGAACTTGTTTACAGCAGTTGTTTAACGAGGCACCATAATTTTTTTTTTCATATAATTTCATTTTCAGTTCAAATAGGTTTGGCTTTACACATTAACTGATTTGCATCTCTCTGTTTAGAGCATCTCTCTGTTTACATATGCACGCTGTACGTTATTTCCATGCCACAACGCATCTCCATTTTTTTTGATGTATCGGACTACTTCTGCTGTGCTACTCAGCATTAATGGAAAATGAGTGAAGTTATGCAAGTGAAAATGAAGTATTTGTTCATATTTGTTCAATCTGTTATGCTGTTCATATTTGTTCCCAAAGGTATCTATCCTATCTTACCATTACAAGAGTCATCCTTGCTTTTAGCCATCACCAAGACAACGCTTTCACAGGAAACAAATGTTTTTAATTTATGTACACAAACAAAATGTTAAGAAATGGACAAATGTGATCTGTATTTTTAGTAATTGGATTTCCCAACGCTTTTTCAGTCACCTTAATTACCTATTCACTCAATCTGTTATTGTTTGAAAACAATCAAATGCTGTTATAAATGTAGATTGTAATTCCTGAAATATGTTATGCTGTTATAAATTCACTGTTACATTTCATGGAATAAATTTGCATTGCAATTATAACCCCAATCTATGGTACTGTTTTAGTTATGTGGTTGGTCTGTGTGTAGTAATATGGCTTCCTCTTTTTCCACTGCCACGTCAACATGGCCACAACGCATGTGTGCTTGTGGCTATGGCCACTGTTTTGTGAAAGTATCCAGATCTCACAAAAATCCTGGCCGTGCATATTACGTTTGCCCCCGCCCCGTGGTGAGTTGTAACAAATGATTATTTGTCACTCCAGTTATATGCACACTCTAAATCCCATATCTAATAAATGTTTAACGTGTCTTATTCATCAGCAATGTGTTAATTGGATTGGTTGGTGTGACGAATCAGGGACACGAATCCCCGACCATGACTCTAGGTCAACCGATGTAATGCAGTTACGGGCTGATGTCGTGAACATTTTCAATACTTTGCGTGTAATGAAAACGGTGATTTGTGTGTTGTGCATCATGGTCATCATCTTATTATTGCGAATGTAGCAACCCTGTAAACCATTTCGTAACTGTACAAAGTAGTTAGTGTTTTGGAAAAGTAACTTTCTGAACAAGTAAATGCTTTCTCATCGTTTGTATGTAGCAACTATGCAGTTAGTAATTATCGTACTACTTTTTGATAAAGCATGTGGAAGTTGTCTGTTACATATTGTTCATTGTTTATTGTCTGAAATGTATTGATCAACTGCATTCTAATGTATACAATACGTCCAGTCACATTACTGTAATGGCTGCAACACGGTCGTCCCCTCGCACCCCGTCTAAGAATAAAGGGGTTGGCCCATCAGATACCGAGGGCATTGTTGATGGCTTAGATCATGCACATAAGGCGAACTGGGACAGTGCAGCCACATAAATCTTCCTAGAGTGTGTTAGGGATGAAATATTAGCGGGCTAGCAGGTAGGTACAACCATAACCATAACAGGGTATAAGGAAATTGCACTGAAATTCGCTAAGCCCACGGGTAGACGTCATGAAATGAAACAATTGAAGACCAAGTACAGCAGTTTGAAAAAGGAATGGCAGGCTTGGAACAAGTTGATGGATAACAGTAAGGGTGTCACAGACATTGGGTTTGACAGGGAAACCGGGTTGTTCACAACGCCGGAAGAGTGGTGGGAAAAGCTTAAATCGGTATGTACCAATTTAAATTTTATTTTACGTAATAAATCATGAAAGTTTCACGACAACTTGTACTTGTTACAAAAATTATTGATAGTAAACTCTCACTTATATAAGTTATGTTCATTTCAAAACATTTCAATAAAAAAATAACTACAAATGTACCACACTGCACAACATAAAAAATAACTACATTTCAAAACATTTCATTGATCTCATTTGTCTATTTCTATAAAATTTTCTTTTCTAACTTAACTAAATTATCTAAAATTCACCATTTCCCCTTTTCTTTTTCCTTTTTTTTTTTAGAACCATACAGACCGGTCGTTAACTCACCTCCAAATTCCCCTACCATCGACCTTGAAGAAGTAGAACCCGGGACAAAAAGGAAAAAAGGAGGTAGCAGTAGTGGAAAGTCGAAGAAGGTCTCCAGTGGAGCATCGGTGCTTGCGGAAAGTTTTAACCATCTGTCTAAGGCGGTTGAAGCACAGAAGCACCTGACGGTCAGGCACGGAACTGGTGCATCGCAAAAGTATAGCATTGAGCCATGTATGCAGCGACTTATGGCTATCCCGGACTTCATCGGTACCCCCCTATTCCATTTCGCATGCACGGCGTTAGAGAACGCGGATTACCGTGAAATATTGATGTGCATGCCAGATGATGAGAATGTAGTCGGTTGGCTTGCACAATTGCAGGTTTCGAAAGGCCTGTGAGTACTTGTGTTTGGTCGTTTACGAAAAAAAAAGACCTTTTTGGTTTTGATGTAGTGTGGTTTTTGTGGACTACTTCTATGGGTCACTTGTCGTAGTTGTTTTGTAGTGTTTTGTGTGGTACTACATCGTTGTACTTATTATTACTTTACTTTTGTGCACGCTACATACTTTTGTCTACTACAGTATGGGATCATGGTGTAACCTCCACTTTTTGGGTTAAGTCAAACAGTAGTTGATGTGTTCCACTTTAATGGTTGAAATTTAATGGTCCAACTGTGCTTACCTTATAACTGGAGAATTGATTGGTGCGTTGTGTGCTTTGTAGGACTCATCGACAAATAATGTTGAAAGGTCAAAGTAGCAACTATAGAAATTACGATGATGTAATCATCGAACTCGCCGAGGAAGAAGAAGACATACAAAAAAGCATAATCAGTGACGCTGCGCAGCATGCAATGGAATATTACATGAAGTACATGGAGAAGATCCCATGCCGAACTTCTATTCTGACCGGTCGTGCCTGGATTCAAGAATTGTTTGATGGGCACGTAGGCAGACGCGAACAAAATTTGCATATGCCACTGTGTGTGTTTCAAGCGTTGTGTGACACATTGCGAAGCGACTTCGGTTTACGGGTACCTACAAGACCCCATGGATTACATATTGAAGAAAGTGTCGCGATGTTCATCCATACGTTGGACGGTTGTAGTAACCGAAAACTTCAGGAACGATTTCAACACTCAGGAGAAACTGTGTCACGACATTTCCATGCAGTGTTAGAAGCGATGAAGTTGTTCACAGAAGTGCATTGTAAGCCCACCCGAGATAAAAATAGTAGGCATCCATATTTGCGATCCAGAGGAAAATACGTGCCTTTTAAGGTTAGAATATTAGTTGTCGTTAGCGGTTAATTTTAATTTGATGTGATGTATTTGAACCTCATGTGATGTACGTTATTGGTGCAGCATTGTATTGGAGCGTTGGACGGTACTCATGTAGAAGCCGTGTTGCCTGCCCGTGATGCCGGCACATACTACGGTCGTAAAGGATATCCAACACAAAACATACTAGCAGTATGCGACTTTGACATGTGCTTCATTTTCATATCTTGTGGTTGGGAAGGAAGCATGCATGACAGTCGCATCTTCAATGAAATAACTGAGAACGCACATGCACCGTTCCCGCACCCCCAAGAAGGTAACACATTTGAAATTAAGTGACCGAGAAATTATTCATGTTGTTCAAAATATTAAAGTGATTGACCAAATGTAGGTAAATATTACCTTGTGGATGCGGGATATGCAAACAAGAAAGGGTATTTGGCACCATACAAAAAATCCTGGTATCACCAGGCACAGTTCCGGGATCATGGACGGCCCGATAACCCAAGAGAATTGTTCAACGAGGCGCATGCATCATTGAGGAGCGTGGTGGAAAGAACATTTGGAGCGTGGAAATCGCGCTGGAAGTTCCTGCATAACATGCCCGACTATGATTTTGCGACGGTGCAGGTGCCATTGGTTGGTGCGTCAATGGCCTTACACAATTTCATCCGTAGGCACGAGATAGCTGCTAATGCACACAATGAACATATAAGATGTTGCTCTGTTCCGGATGACATGCCCACTGCAGAAGGAGGAGAAAATATGGATGATGGCCTCATGGTGGGGGATACGGATGTAGATATGGCCAGAGTTCGCGTGCGGATCCGTGACCATTTGTTTCATATACGGAATCAAGGACTATTGTGAAATGCTTGTTATCTAATGTATGTGTTTGTGTAATTTGTATTTCGGCATTGCAATGTGACTGTAACAAATTACTTATATTTGTAATTTGTGTACGAACGATGTAAATATGTTGCAAATTTAGTTGAAGTACTATTAATTTGAAATTCACCATTTCCCTTTAGTAAATTGGCATTTTCACATACAATTTTATTTTGTGGGCAGTGTATATTTCGTACTACTAATTTTTGTAAAAGATAAATCTTATTAGAAAGTTCGTAGTATGTTTCTCATAAATGTTAAAAACCAAACAAATTTTTTGTTTAGCAAAAAATTAATTGGAATAAAAACTTAGGACTTGATTGGTTTTGTTTTGAGAGATAAATTATGCAAATTAATTATGGGGAAAGAGAAAGAGTTACAAAATTTAGTTGGTTTGTTTAATTGTATATTTTCAAAGTAATTTTTGCGTACAGGAGCTCAATAAATAAATTTCATTTCATTTGACTAGGTGGTGTTTGGGAACCCGGGTTGCCTCAGATTTTATTCACAACGGAAAAAAATTTAAAAACAAGCACTGTAGCTGAGTCAATCAGGTAGGTCCAACAAACTCTCACAGAACCCCTATCTACCTGGACGCTTTGACCGATAAATAAATTTAATAAATTGAATTTATCAAAAAAATAAAAAAATTGAATTTATCAAAAAACATTGAAGTACAACACACTAAATAAAAAAATTGAATTTAATGAATTGAAGCACAACACAATAAAAAAAAAAAAATTATAAAAAAATAAAAAAATAAATTAAAAAAAAAAAGTTGACAAATTTAATTTTAAGTCGAATACATAAAAATACATAAAAATACAAAAAAATACATATTTAAAAAAATCAATATACTGAATTCTTTTCAAAGTTAAAAATTTGTGAAAAATTATTTTTAAAAATTAAGAAATACATAAAAATACAAAAAAATATACTGAATTCTTGTATGTTTTTATATTTTTGATATTTAGCGAATTTTTAAAAGATTTTTTTACAAATTTTTTACTTTTTAGGTGTATTTATGTTAGGTGTGTCTAAAAGAAAAAAAAAATTGCTTAAAATATTTAAAAAAATCAATAAAAAAAAAACACGAAAAATAAGAAAGTAAAATTTTTTTAAAAGTTTTTTTTCAAAATTAGAAATAAGCAAGCTGATTAATTTTAATATGGCAATTTTCAATGAAAAATACAATTTTTATTTTTAATATGAAAAATACAATTTTCAATTGTTTGCACCATGTGATAATTGCTTCGGAAATGTGGCCTCAGATTTCCGTTTGTAATGGGAGGAATGGTGGCCACGTGGCCATTACCAATTAAGTGCAGTTAAATATTGCATAGGGGCAATTTGGTAACTTTACATTCCACTATCATTTCAAACACATTTTCCAGTACAATAAACCTAAAAAAATCCATCTCATCTTCCCAAACACACAAATAAACTACCCTACTAAAATACTCAAACCACATAAAAACCTCATAAAAACTCACTTCCCAAACACCATCTTAGTAGGCTCGGAGACATGAAGATGGTGACTTTTTTTTAAACAGCAAAATAAAATTTTATTGATGAAAACAATACAGAGTACGATAAAAGTATATCAATAAAGAGAAGAGTGTAAAAAGTATCACAGTAAACCATCAAGATCCCAACTAGATTAGCACCAAGATGAAGGTGCCGATCAAAAAAAAGATTAGCACCAAGATGAAGATGCTGACTTATCATTAACCAAATCAAAAGGATGTTAGGGAATCAGGAGTCCATGAAAGCACAACGGTACCAGGCCAATGCATGGGAAGAAACTCCAAATCCACACTCGCAACACTAGCGCCCAATATAAATGGAGAGCCTATCTAATATATCTTGTCTCATCTTTTTTTACTTTCTTCGATAAAACAAGAATTGAAAAAGCAGTCTTAATCTTATTTTTTTTTCAAAAATTATTTTGTAACTTAAACCCGTGCCAACAAGAATACTAACCATATGCCTTACCCTTGGATGAAACTATCCTTTCTGGACGTCATAAAGCCACATGTATGCCTAACTAGGTGACATGACAGAAGGAAAATGTTTGGTAACTCGAATTTGAATTTGTTCGAATTGTTTGAATTTGTACATGCTTGTTGATCACCCAGACGACTAGTGCAACACTTGTCTAATGCGATTGTCACTTTTATTGACCGCGGTTGTCGCTTTGCTACTAAATAACCGACCGAACGACTGACAAACCTCAAATTCAAACTACATAACATTGTTGTGACAAAAAATTCTACCCAAGCGAAAATTAAATGTTGGCTCTACTTCACCAACCATCATATGGCTTGCACTAAAACTAAAAGGAAAACATTTGACTTATATGGGTAGTGAGGCCTGCTTTATGAGTAATCACTAACATATTAGAGATATTATATTTTTAAATTTTGGACAATAACTTGAGAGGGTTTGTGTATTCTCATTTATTTAGAGAGAGTACTCGGTATAGGATCTTTCTTAGGTATGCAAGGCATACCATATGCAAGCCCTCCTTATGCCTTTCTCCGTTTAAGTTATACAAGTTTATGTTAGAAGTTATACAAATTTGTGTTAGCACTTATACATTGTTGACCTGCTAAGCAGGTCAACTTACAGGTAAAACTAATAAAATAATAGATTATATAATATACATGTACGTATTTTCACAAAAATAGATAAGCTTTTACAAAATTTGATAAGTTTTCACAAATTTTGTAACTGATTTCAGAAAATGCGTAGGTTTTTACAAAAATGCATAAATGTTTCAAATAATTTTGAACAACATAAAAATGAATAAATTTTTTCAAATCCCGTAAGTGATTTAACAAAATGCATAAGTTTTCACAAATATGCGTAAGTTTGTTTCAAATGAATTAGAACAATACAAAAATAAGTAAATTTTTACAAAAGCCGTAAATGATTTCACAAGATGCGTAAGTTTGATTCAAATAATATAGAACAATACAAAAATGAGTAAGTTTTCACAAAATTAGTAAGTGATTTCACAAGATGCATAAGTTTTCACAAATATGCGTAAATTTGATACAAATAATTTAAAAAAAAACACAAAATGAGTAAGTTTTCACAAAATTCGCAAGTGATTTCACAAAAATGCATAAATTTGTTATCAAAAGTTTAGAATAACACAAAAATGAGTAAGTTTTCATAAATTTCATAAATGATTTCACAAAATGCATAAATTTTCACAAAAATGCGTAAATGTGTTTCAAATAATTTACAACAAAAAAAAAATGAGTGAGTTTTCACAAATCCCGTAATTGATTTCACAAAATACGTAAGTTTCAGAAAAATGCATAAATTTGTTATCAAAAGTTTAGAATAATACAAAAATGAGTAAGTTTTACAAAACTCGTACATGATTTCATAAAATGCGTAAATTTTCATAAAAATGCGTAAGTTTATTATCAAAAGTTTAGAATAACACAAAAATGAATAAGTTTTCACGAATTTCGTAAGTGATTTCACAAAATCCGTAAGTTTCACAAAAACGCGTAAGTGTGTTTCAAATAATTTACAACAATACAAAAATGTGTAAGTTTTACAAATCCCGTAAGTGATTTCACAAAATGCGTAATTTTTCACAAATATGCGAAAGTTTGATTCAAATAATTTAGAACAACACAAAAATGAGTAAGTTTTCATAAAATCTGTAAGTGATTTCACAAAATGTGTAAATTTCATAAAAATGCGTAAGTTTGTTATCAAAAGTTTAAAAAAATACAAAAACGAGTAAGTTTTCACAAATTCCGTAAGCAATTTCACAAAATGCGTAAGTTTTTACAAAAATGTGTAAGTTTTCACATCAAAAGTTTAGAACAACACAAAAATGAGTAAATTTTTACAAATTCGATAAGTGATTTCATAAAATACGCAAGTTTTTACAAAAATGCGTAAGTTTGTCTCAAATAATTTAGAACAACACACAAATGAGTAAATTTTCACAAATTCCATAAGTGATTTAACAAAATGCAAAAGTTTTTACAAAAATACGTAAGTTTTCACGACAAAAGTTTAGAACAACACAAAAATGAATAAGTTTTCACAAATTACGTAAGTGATTTTACAAAATGTGCAAGTTTTCACAAAAATAAGCAAGTTTGTTTAAAATAATTTAAATAACACAAAAATGAGTAAGTTTTCACAAATCTCCTAACCGATTTTACAAAATGCGCAAGTTTATATAAAAATACGTAAGTTTGTTTGAAATAATTTACAACACAAAAATGAGTACATTTTCACAAATCCCCTAACTGATAATTTTTCACAAAATGGATAAATTTTCACAAATTTCGTAAGTGATTTCACAAAATGCGTAAGTGTATTCCAAATAATTTAAAACAATACAAAAATGAAGAAGTTTCACCAATCTCGTAAGTGATTTCACAAAATGCATAAATTTTCACAAATATGCAGAAGTTTGATTCAAATAATTTAGAACAACACAAAATGAATAAGTTTTCACAAAATCCGTAAGTGATTTCATAAAATATGTAAGTTTTCACAAAAATGCGTAAGTTTGTTCATAAAACTTTAGAATAACACAAAAGTGAGTAACTTTTCACAAATTCCGTAAATAATTTCACAAATGCGTAAGTGTTCACAAAAATGCGTAATTGTGTTTCAAATACTTTAGAACAACACAAAAATGAGTAAGTTTTAATAAATATGCATAAGTTTGTTATCAAAAGTTTAGAACAACATAAAACTAAGTAAGTTTTTATAAATCCTCTAAGTGATTTAACAAAATGCGCAAGTTTTCACAAAAATGTGTAAGTTTATTTCAAACAATTTAGAACAAACACAAAAATGAGTAAGTTTTCATAAATCTGTAAGTGATTTCACAAAATACGCAAATTTTCATAAAAATACATAAGTTTGTTATCAAAAGTTTAGAACAATACAAAAATGAGTTACTTTTTATAAATCCCTAAGTGATTTCACAAAATGTGCAAGTTTTCACAAATATGTGTAAGTTTATTTCAAACAATTTATAACAACACAAAAATGAGTAAGTGTTCACAAATTCAGTTAATGATTTCATAAAACGC